ACCCAGATCCAAAATAGTTCCAAAATAATAAAAATCCCCCAGTCACTCACTGTAGCATTCATCTTTATGAAGCTCGAGATAGGTGGAGCCAAGAAAAAAACCAGCAGAATCCACAAATAGGACTGTCTGACTTAAACTTTCTATTAAAAGACAAGAATGGAAAAAAAGAATGCATTGTTAATCTGAACCAAAATAAATCACGCTGATATTAAAGCCATTGCTCCTACCCCTTCAATGCCTGTTTGACTAGAACACCCTTCAGAAATGATCCTATTGATTCCCCTGTCCTCTGGCATAACCTCTGCTACCTGCAGAGTGGCAATTCCAAAGCAACACCCTATTAGGTTTTAGTTGTAGCAGTGAAAATTGAAGTAAATTCATTAATTTAGAGACCATTTCCTTAGAAAGACTGATCTGAAGTTGTTGAAGGACAAAATGAAAGGAGATCTAGTTGCTCAGTCATTCACCATTTAAGTTCCTTTTCCTTCAGCCACAGTACCTAAAAAAAAAAATATTACTGTACTAAAGAAGTTCCATACAAAAAAGTGGATATTTCATTGCCATTTTCCATGACACAGATACAAAGTATAATTATTTTGAAAGGAAAACTCCTTTATAGAACTTCTTTAATTAGATTCCCCTTTCTTGCACCGCTACCGTATTAAACTTACTTATCTTTCCCCCAGTGTAGCAAGTCTGTCTATTTTTGCATTGTCATTCTGGAGGCAGACACCTGGGCTGCTGCAGAAGATTTTAATCTCCAGTTGCGCACGCTGCCTGCCTTGCTTGCCCGGGATGACAAGTGCCTCTTTATCTTTTTTCTCCAGATTGTTAACAGACTCTAGTACGTACATTATTCAACGAACAGCAGCAAAGAAAATGTCAGAAAGAGCAGAAAAGCCCAAAGCAAAACACTGGAGATAAAGAACAGCCCTTCTGAAGCTGAGATAAGGAACTGTAAACACTAAGCATGCTTTAAGGAAGTTTACTTTATCCTCTCCAACACGGGCAAATGACTAGTTAATTTCAAATCCAGCTCTGAACATCATAAGACACAAACCCTGGGAAGGCAGAGTTGATTTCAGCTATGGTCATAAATACAAACACAAGCCTCCTACTGAGAGAAGGAAGGTTACTGATTCCTGATAAACACCAACTGCATACATTTATTTCACCCCTTTCAACGATATGAAAAGCAGATGGGCTTGTAACATGAGAGTGAATCCAAGAAAAAAAGAAACACCACCTAGCTTCCGAGTAATCTTATACTTTTTCCCTTTTACAGACATCCCCAGACAGATGAAATCTAACCACTGAAATCAGAATATGCAGAGCTTGAGAAGAAATCAATTACTTAGGAGGAGGGATGGGAAAGGAAGAGGAAAAAAAAAATCCTTACCAACTGACTGGCCTTACTGTGCACTTCTCCAGGAGATCAAGAATTGCTTCTGATGCAGCAACATTCAGCCCTGGAGAAGTCAGGCAGAGGGAAAAGGGAGGGGAAGTAAGAGGAGGGGAAGGGAGGAGACAGGAGGAGAAGGGAGGGGAGGGGAGAGCGTGTACACCACACGTCAGTTTGTTGAGCCCTAACATTGCCTTTGGGAAGTAGAATGAAATTACTGCCAAATCTGACTGGGAATGGGCTTGTGATGCTTCAAAAACAATACAGAAACAAGATCCAAGCATGACCGTTTGGGTTCAGAACAGAATCAGAAGGAAGAGATGTGCATTCTCACATGGAGCTATTCAGAGCACTTGAACCCCCAAACGTGCTTTTTGCTCCAGTGAGAGATGGTTCTCAAATTTAAAGTCAAGCAGAGTAAATGTAAAAGCTGCAGCAAAACCCAACACTGCAGTTAGTGAGAGAGGGAGCCCATCCAGAAGAAAGCAAGATTATTTTGCTTTCCTAAAGTCTTCCAAACTCAGCTTGCAGCTACTTGCAAACCTATGAGACTGTAAACTAGATGGAATAGTCATTTCAACTCTTCATACACAGCCATTTCCATGCCAGCTGCATCCAAACACAGCATGCAATGTGCTGAAGGCAGACATCCCTCCTCGGAAGACTTTTATCCTACAGCAGTACAATAGACTAAGAGGAAGGGCATCAACACACGCATTTTGATAGCATCAAAGTATGATACACACTCGCACATGCACAAATATGACAGTGATTCTCCCACCAACTGTTACAACCCAGTCCCACTCCACCATTAAAAGCTAACAGAATTAAAATTTTAGTGCCTGAAGGAAGAATGGGAGGGGAACATTCATTGTTCAACTCATATCTCATCACCACGTCTCAACAGAACAGAGATTAAAAAAAAAAAAACAACAAAGTTATTTTGCACCTTAGAGGTGCTACCTTTAGTTTAGGTACCCCAAATTCCCCATTCCTCACAAGCTGTGCTGATTTCCTAAAATACATTGCCTCGCTATCCAATGTCTCCACCTTGATTCCCTTGAGCTAGCAATTTTGCTTCTAATTGTTGTTGTCTACTGTCCTCTATCATGTGCTTTCCCAGCCCTACAAGACACCCAAGCCCACAGATTAGTTTGAAACCTTGCAGAGAGGCAGAATCTCCGGAGCTCTATGTGCTGTACAGCAGCAGCACAGCGTTACGCAGCAAGTGGTCCCGCTGCATGATGCAACACCATGCAGCGCTGACTCCACAGCACAGCAGTTTGGGCAGAGGAAGGGCTCATCTAGCCCCTGCTCTTCCAACTGACTACTTTTCTTCTTGCAAAGGTAGGTTTCAATCTGAACACCAAGGAGGATCCCAAATCATACAGTGCCAAGGGAATAGACAGAGCCTTGAAGGCTACAGGTTCTATTCAGGTCTAGCACTGCAAAACAGGCTCCCATAAAGCTCTCCTCTGCTGCTGATCCACAAAACACCAGATAAGCTGTTACGGTATCTTTTCAGTTCTAAATAAAGAGCTCTTGCCAGCTGCAGGAAAAACTTATCTGCACACCACTCTGGAACAACATAAAACCCCAATCTCTTACTGTCCTAGCAGTGTAATTCACTGGAGACTCCTAGGTTTATAGATCACCCGTGGCTCTAACAAAGCATTACTGACAGCTTGATCTGGCACACAGCACTCCTGTGGCAGATGCTTATCTTAAAAAAATGCAAAACACCTGGGTGATAGCTAACAGCCTGCCATGTGGCTGTCCCAAACACATCCCGAGAACACGAATATCTTCCACTCCCTGCTCTCAGCGTTGCCGTCCCCAGAATACCATTCCCAGTAACACCACAAGCAAAGCAGGTCCCCCAACCCCAGCCCCACAGCAACTCACAAAGGGTTAGCGCGGCTACGCTAACTCAGTTGGAAAGGATTTTTGTCACCTTGCCTCTTTCCTCGCCTCTTCTGCTGTTTCAAAAATAGCTCTGGCTTGTTTGCTGTACTGCTTGTGTCAGTCTGATTTTATGCCTGAGTGGATGTATACAGACAAGTTCGTAGCCCATTAAACACTGCCTACCCAGACCTGTACGTACATGCACAGTCACACAAACACAAAGCACACCCCCCTCCCTCGGAGGCCATGCTGAAAAGCCGCTTGTTTTCAGAGGCTTTGCGCTGTATTAAGTATGTTTATAGCAGGCCTCAAATAGGGGATAGAAAACAGACCACAGTCTTTTCTGAGGTTTTGAAAAAAGAAAAAAAAAAATAAGGCCAAACAGCTCTATCATCCACCCCCCTCTTAAAGTTGTAAGTAAGGGCCTTGCCTGTGATGCAAAGACTTTGAAATGGAAATGCATTTATCAAGTGACCTAAGGTCATTTGGATGCATGCTGTTCAATGTTTCTGTCCATTAAAGACAAACAACCCTCCCCCCTCCCCCCGAGGTTTTGAAAACCATTATCCACAATTGCCAGGAAGTGTAAGGATTTCGGTAGGTGCAGAAATACAGAAATTCTGGAACTACTGCTAAAGAAAAATTCAGGTAACATCCTGAAATCTGAGAAGTCCTTTGAATGAGATTTTTCCTACTAGCACTTTTTAATCACTAGGTTTTACTGAATAGTTTTTCTTTTTACAATAAATCAACTTGCATTTCCCTAATCCCAGATTAATCCCATTCAAATCTGGTATCCTTCCCAAACACAGTAATCTAAAGATCAGCATCCTTTACCACAGCTCTACCTTCAAGACCCAGCTCATCACCTGTGAATTAACTGATACTTTTTTTTGATGTATCTTTCTCAGTATGCCATGACTCAGGACTATTGGTTATCATGAATTTAAGACTTCCATAACAAAATGCAGCACAAAGCAATTTTGCTTGGTCCTATATAAAATCCAATATGCATTAGCTATTAAATAATAAATAATAATAAATAAGAACCTACTGACATTTCTGTACTACATGCTCCCCAATTACTCATCTGCTAAAAACCCTTTGAAATTTAAGAGGAGAAAAAAATAACATTTCCAGCAGTCACTGTAGCATGAAGACAAGATTAAAAAGATGACCCTCTCAGGCACTGTATCTCTTTTACTACGAGTCTTTGCATGCACATGTAATTCTGTATGTATATTAACAGGAAAGAGCATTCAAACAAAAGCTCAACCATTAGCATATTAACAAAGTGTATGAAAAATAGTTATTTTACTCCTGAGGACATCTGCTATTTCAACAACAGTCCAAAACACCAGACATGCAAAGAACTGAAACAGACCAGCTGGGGAAAATGTGGGGTCCGATCACATAGGTCTTCAATACCAACATTAGTAATGAACAGGTAAAAGTCAATTATGCCTTGGGGCAGAGTGAAATACATTACTGCCCAGCATCTCTTTCCAAGTATATGGTCCTGACCTCCTGAATTTTTTCTCCCTTTTGAGGCATCCATTCTCCCACAGGCTTAGTACGAGCAATTCCTCTTAGCTTTCTGCTTTAAGTACGAATAGCTTTTCTACTATTAAGACCAGTCTTACACTTAGAAATAAGCTTCGAACAAAATATGGAAATTAAACTGTTTTCTTACCCATCCTCCTTGTTGAATGATATAGTCCGCAGAATAGTCTTCTAGATATGTCACCCCAAAGTTCACAAGTGCACTCAATGGTTCCTGGCCTCTTCTGGTTAACTCCATGAGGAATTGCTGTAGCAGAACCAGGGGTACCAAGACCTTAAACAAAAAAAAATTAAAAAAAAAAAATGAATAAATACAGAAAGCCTTATCAATACTATTGTGTAAGTAAAATGAAGAACTCATGTGGTCTATGGAAAAGGCCTGGATCTACAAGTTCAGAGTTATCAGAGACTATACACTTCATTTTTATGAAGACAAGAGGTAGAAATACAATACAAAACAGTAGGAAATCTAACAAGCAAAATACCACAGTGTAACTTGGGAATTTCACAGAACAGTACTGCAGTCATTTCTTGAGCCCCATGTTCCCCAACATGAGATTCAGGTAAAAAAGCACAATGGGTCCAGAACTTACTACTTCAGAAGTAAAAAAAAATGCAGCTTTATAGGTAGCTTGAAGGGATACACATCAAAAATGTATTCAAACAGCAAACTCACGTACATTCTTTAATAGATGCACTGTGCTAGACAGACTCTTTAGAAGTTGATGCTCTGTTTTTTGACTGGACAGAAGCAAACAACTTGGGCTTGATGGGTTATAATAAGTGGGGTTACATCAGGCTGGTGGGCAATCACTAGTAGGGTTCCCCAGGGCTCAATTTAAGGAGATCTGGGGGTTCTGGCTGACTACAACTTGAACAGAAGTCAGTGGTGTGCTGTGGCAGCCAAAAGGGCCGACTGCATCCTGAGGTGCATCTGGCATGGCATCGCTGGCTGGTCGAGGGAAGGGATTGTCCTGCTCTGCAGCAGCCTCATCTCAAGAGCAATCTGTAGTCTGGGGCACCACAATATAAGAAAGGCATAAAACTATTAGTGAGTGTCCAAAGAATGGCTACAGAGGTGGTGAGAGTCTAGAGGGCAAGATATATGAGGAGCAGCTGAGGTCCCTTGGTTTGTTCAGCCCAGAGCAGGCTGAGGGGAGGCCTCATGGCACCTGCAGCTCCCTCATGAGGGGAGCAGAGGGGCAGGCGCTGAGCTCTGCTCTCTGGGGACAGCGACAGGACCCGAGGGAACGGCATGGAGCTGGGACAGGGGAGGGTCAGGCTGGGGGTTAGGGAAAGGTTCTGCACCCAGAGGGTGCTCGGGCACTGGGACAGGCTGCCCAGGGCAGTGGTCACAGCACTGAGCCAGCCGGAGCTCAAGAAGCATTTGGACAGCAGTCTCAGCCTGTTTTTTTGATGGTCTTGTGTGAGGGCCAAGAGTTGGACTTCATGATCCTTGTGGGTCCCTTTCAACTCTGTATATTCCATTATTCTATGAACTCCCCACAGCAGCATAACATTACAGGCATCGTTAAAGTGATAAACACATACTCCTCTCTATGTTTAAACTCTCTCTCCTGTGCCAAATCTACCACGTACAGAATTCCCTGCCTCTGTTCCTGCTCCTATTTCTCCTTCCAACTATAACTGAATGTTCAGCCTTAACCCAAATGTGAATTGCTCTGGAAAATGCAGTAATCTGTGAACTCACCTCTTTTATATAACACAGTTCTAGACACTTCCTTCTGAAATTATGGTTTTGTTTGCCTAAACAACATGCAGGTGAACTTTTAAACTCTAAATTTATTCTCCTAGAGCAAGCAAGTGGCCCTCTGGGCAATGTTTATATGCAGTACTTTGGCAAGTTCAGGAAAAACTGGTATGAATTGAAGTCATTAGCATCTGAAAAAAACTACTATAACACAAGAGAAAGATAAATATTAATTTTACTGCATCGAGTTTATGACAACTGCATTGCACTTCTCTGTAAAGGCTGAAGAAGGTCATTAGAACACCGTGCAAATCAGACCACTGTTTCCTGCCCACACAAGGTAGATACAGGTTAACACTATTGTACAGTTTGAACTCTAAATGCCTCCTTTCTTTCCCAGTCTTGTCCTCCTTTAGCCTGATCTTCTTTTCTGTAAATATCCTCTCTTACTATTCCCAAAAATCACACCTTAGGAAGCACAGCCGGAGGAAGAAGCATAGGAAAAGGAGGCTGGGTTTGAAATTTGTACTTAATCCATGGTGAAGTCAGACTCAGATGGACCACTAAAAACAGACAGGGCCTTAAAAATGCCTGCAGTCTGGTAAATTTAAAGTGTTCTAGTTGATTAAAAACAGATAGAGTCCAATACTATGAAAAACAGATTATATTACTGTTCTTCTGGGAACAACAGTAAACACTTCATTCACTTAACTAGAAATGAGATGCTGCTTGAATTTTAAAAGCCTTGTGGTTTTTTGAGTTTCTTGTAATTAATCTCAGCCCAGAAGCAGAAAAGATGCAAACTCACAGTTACATGCACAGGCATAAGGAACAGGTCAAGGTGAGATAAGTGTCAGAGGAAATTGAAGTCTTTTTGGATTAAAGAAAAAAATAAATATGTCAAGACTAGGTATCTTTCGAAGGCTTTGAACACACCCACAGAATTCTACAACAGGGTGAACCTTTCCATCTCAAAATATTTGACATTTACTTTAAGATCAAGGGAGGAGAAACAAAGGCAAAAAAGCTGCTTAAGAAATTGAGTGAATTCAAATTATTGCTTTCTTCCTTTGCCAGTTTAAACATCCAATCCATCTACTCCTCCCAAATTTAGCATGTCTTGCTGGTCCCTTACTCTTAAGACCTAATTCAGATGCTGACATTCAGTTCCATGGAGACCAACAAACAGCCTGGTCTTCCTTTCCCACTGAAATTACAGACTTCTACCTTTGAGATCAGTAGGAGCAGGACCAGGTTTGCACAAAACTAACCCAAATTCATGAAAGAAAACAAGTTCACAGCACTTCCATTAAGGCTAGCAACAACTTTTTGTACTTAAGTGTAACTACGTGCATGGTGATGAGATTTAAAACTAGATCTAAGTAAAAATACAGCCTTAAAAATTCAAAGCAACTGCAATTCATTCCACCACCATTGCTCACCAAAAGGAGTAAGAGGGACCTTTTTTACTTTGACTAAAGAAAACAAATACAGTATCAAGCAGAGCATGGCAGAAGACAGTTGAGGGGAGAAACTTCTAAGGAATAATAAAAATATTTTATGATCAGAAGATTTCTGATTGTGTATATGAAAGATTTCTGCCAGTTATACTATTGCAATCCCACACTACATATTACAATTCTGAAGAGAGATCTTGAAGATTTTTTTAATTCTTAAGTTATATTGAAAGTAATTGCCATTCCTGTGTATCTTTTTACTATTACAAAAATTCACTCAATTCTTTACATGATTAGTTCTTACATTTTTGTTTTATTGCTTTAGCTTTTTAGCTTTGTTTTAGCTCCCATTAATCAGTAAAAATGGAACATTAAGGATAACTACTAAGATAACTATTAAGATAACCTACTAGTTCAGTTGACTCTAAATATCAGTGTTTGTTATCCTTTTATCTGATGCACAATAGTGGAATTAAGTACTTTTGGAGTATTTATATAATATTTTTTAAGCAAAGCATAAAAAACAAATAAGTATTTTGTTGCCAGATTTTAAAATATATTCATTACAAAAATAATACCCTGTTTAAGCTTGGGATGTTTTTAATTTGGTTTTGTTTTAAAAAGAGCCTCATCCTTTTCTTTACAGGATCCATCGTAGCTATTATTCTCACATCACAATTTCTGAGAAATACATGAAATATTTTTTTCTCCTGGAATTCCTTTACTGAGAACCAGCACTTCAAATATCTACAGGTAAACTTTGCTTCTGTGGGATGTTAGTGGAAAAACTGATGTTCCCATGCATTTGTTTACCTGGCAATATTTTCTTATTCACATGAACATTGATGTTTTAGTGACAGGAAACATTCTTTTACATTCCATCCCTCGTAAGTTAATCACATCTCTTCAGCAGTTCAAACATACCACTGCACTCTAGAAAAGGTCCACATTTACAACTGGAAAAAATACCTGGCTACATTTAGAAGTGTCTTCTTTCTGCTTATGCCTGCACAACGAACAGGTTCTGTGAAAACTGGAGTGACTAAAAAATTGACACCTTGCCAACTGTAAAAGAGACAGATTGAGCCTTTGTCCGCATTAACTTGCAACCAGCTAACTTCACTATTTTAATCCAATACATACCCAGCATTGTATGCTTACCTGTGTCTCACATACACCTAACCTCAAGCAAGATTTACAAAGACTGCTTTGAGTCTGCTTTGTGCCACAGAAGTGCTGCACCATTAGGGGATCAGTGAGGCTCTCTGAGCTCATCTCATTCAACATATTAAATAGCTGGAGCTTTTATATATACACATATATAATAGATACCTATACATACATACACACAAGATGGATCTGATAACGTGTCAAATGTGAAATCAGAGTAGAAAAACAGTTCATTCCGACCTGAGCTCCTCACCCATGTCCAGGTTGCTAAAAGGGACCAAGAAACTTGCCCTTCAACAGCAAGGACTCAGAAATTTGAAGTGAGATCTTATATATTAGCTTATATGATACTAAAAGTAAGAATATCTTGCTGCGTGAGGTTGCATGAGGTGCCACTACTGAGCACAAGAGATGCAGCTTACCTGAAACTTAAAATATATTTAATCTATTAGATTTAGTAATTTTATTTCTTCTAGTCTGGATCAAACCACAAGCCTTGATCACAGATGTACCAGCCAAAAGTCTGTCCTGTGGGAAAGCACTTTGACATTTTTAACCCGTCATATCTGACAATTGCTGTGTCTTTCCAATTTCTGCTCCACCCAAGCAATTAAGGATGTGTGATGGCCACAGCATGTAACAGGGAGTGATTTACTATTCTGTTTAGCTAGCTCAGCTTGTTGTATGTTTTCTTAACTTACACACTTAGTCATCAAAGAACCTAAGCTTCAATTCAGCAATACTTCTCCTTAGAGGGATGGAAAGCCTTCATCATTCTTAGCAAACTGACAAAACCAAATTCAGTAAGAGACATCTTTGTGGAAAATCTGAGGAAGTGTCAGGAAACTAACCTGTTAAAGAGCTATCTATGGAGTATTGTATTTGCTTTCTCTTGGGTTTTTCATTATAAAGTACATTCAACATATTTAACTACTAAGTATATTTAGCACAGAAAACACTTTATTCATTGTAAACTACTATTCTTACTAATTTGCCTTTCCCCTCTTAAAGTAGTGGGCATATCTTCACTGCTTCCCACAGTCCTTTGTTCTTACAGATATCTATGAGTAGATTTGCAGGAGCAGAAGAGTCTTCTCATAGCCAATTTAAATACAAATCCTTCATGAACCTGAGGCCAGCATGGCCTCATTTTGCTGCATGTCTGCTAATTAGACCTAACACTGTGTGTCTATTTATAGCTACTTTAAATAATTATTTTGCGAACAGCTTCTTCTTAGAGTGAAAATTAAGTTAGACTGAAGTTGGAGGAGAGATACCTAGATCTCTTTTGTTATAAAATATGATGCTGGTTAAGACGATAAAGGAATTTAAAAGGAAATGAAACCAATACAAGTGTATTCCATCTCACAAAACAAGTATTATTAAAGGAACTACCAGGCATTCCTGAAGTATCAAGCTACCACAAAAACAATATAAATGGATGCTGTATTATTACACAAAAATTCCATTGTTTTGCTTGTGGACTAAAAGTTTTGTAGCAACAAGTATTATGGGTAAGTAAAGATGATGGCAAAGACAACGTATGACTGATATTCTCAATCAAAAGCTAATAGGGACCAAAACCCATTAATCACAAAGGCTGCACAAATGTAGCAGCAATGGAGGAATCATAAAACTGAATCATAAAACTCCCAATACTCCCAATCGATCTACCCAGTGCTATAGCTGCAACAGCTGTGTACCAACAGCACATGGAGATGCAGTAGAGAATAAATCTCCATCCATCTCCCCCAGCCATCTGAGCCATAATGTCTAGCTTTATGCCCATTTATAGTTTTCACCAGCTGAAAAGAAAAACATACCCATCTTAAAGAACCTTCTTGATAATCAGATTTCATGGTTATTTAAGCTAAAATGCTATGAGTCATAATACAATAAACCAAAAGCAAACACACCAATTATAATTGACATAGCCATGGGCAGTAACTTGTCAAGAAACATTAACAAACTGCTTTAAAAGTGCCCCACGCCCTTGCTTAGATGATCAGTTTCTAAAGTATGCAGGGAAATCTAGTTAAGGAGGTAAAATATTTCTTTTAAAAAATTAAAATAGGAAAAAAAGCACTTAAATTTTAAGACTAATTTTTAAACACTCAATTTATGATTAAATTTGCAAATATTTCATTATTTTTCTGATGCACACTGAACCTGTCAGAGAATGATTAAGATTACAAATTTGAATGGTTAATGAAAGATAAATTTTGGGGACAGTAATTCTACTCATTTTACATTAAAACTATTACAAAGACAGTTCACTTACAAATTTGCATGCTGTTCTACAATGAAGCTTCATGTCATTTGAGACAACTCCTGAAACCAGGTATGCACACCCTCATGTTTCCTGAACAACTGACACAAGAGATAAAGTGAAAGTCACTTATTTGGTACCTTGTTCCATCCACTGGCATGAGCAGCTGTCTCTTGTGTGCGCTCTCGATATTCTTGGTATGTCACTGGCCTGCAGAAGTTAAATCAACACTGAAAGTTATAAAAGGAAACAAAAGAACAAGAATAAAATAAAACTCTCAGTTTCCAGAGAATGAAATATTTTCACATATATAAAGCAAATAATTTTCAAGAGCAAACAAGACTCATATTTCAGGGCATAAAACACCATCACCAGACAGAGGAAGGAAGATACCACCTTCTCCCAGGTACACAATTTCAAATAATCGGTTAGGTGAATTTTATAAGAATTTAATAGTCTACAAATTGAAGGACATTAGAAAAGTTAGTTCTCTGACATGCAGACAATATTTCAGATCTCTTGAAGATTGTTTTTTATAATCTAAGAATCTGAAGATAAAAAAATCACTACTGAAATTCAACTGTGAGATGGAGGTCAATGCAGAGTGAAATTTTCATAAATAGTAGAGACTACAAACAACCAACATATGCTTAACAGTGTTAACATTATTTAAAGTTCAAGCTTCTAGTTGCAAGGAACAGTACTTTCAATCAAAAAAAATTCATTTTATTTTAGTAGACATCTCGACAAGGCTTCCCATTTTAGAATTATCACATCTCTACCTCTCTGATTCAGATGATAAAATTCCCCTCTCTTCCATATTCTTTCTTCCAAGATCTAATAATATCTTACAGTCAGTAACAATGAAGACTTCCTGACAAGTGACAACAGAAAATACACTCTTTCAAAAGCAGTTGTCCCAAGGTCAGACCATGATAGCAGACAAATTTAAACTTTGGCTTCAGGGAGAAAGTGGTAGCTGGTGTTGGACAGAAGAAACTGTAACTGCTTACTGAAATTTAAGAATCTGTCACAATTTAGTAGCCTTGCTATACTCTAACACAAAGATACTTGTCTATGCGCATGTAAGAGGAGAGGAAAATACCAAATATAAGCAAAATAAATAAGCATTGTGCCAAATAACACTACTGTAGGAAACATGAGTGAAAGAACAGAATTAAAGCACGCTGAGGGAAATATAATTTGGGCTTGTCATTTTAAGTGCATTCTCTTAACTCCCTTGGTATTAGTTCCTTTGGAATGCAAATCCAAATGAATCAGTAGGATGAGAAGAGCAACAACAGCTGGAGGAAGGTTATTATCAAGGGATTAAACAGCAGTTCTGGTTCACCTTATAAAAAGGCATGCATGTCACCCCATTTTCATGGGTGTGTGTGTTTATATATACACACACCCACGAAGAAAATGACAAAAAGAACATGACAAAGTTTTCCTATAGAAAATACAAGAAGCCTAGAACACCAGGCTACAACCAGCCACATAACCACTTCATTTTCAAAGGCCTCATATCAGGAACTCTCCAAAGAGATCAACCTAGAAGGAACCAATACCTACAATGGTCAATACCCCATTATCTACAACGTGTAAGACCTTAACATTTTAAACACTTATTTTTTTTAATTTAGATACACAAAACAGAGAGGTTGCAAGGCTTAGTGCTGATTTTCCAACTTGTTGCCAGTATGTTTTTTTTTTTTTAGTTTACAGTAAGGTATTTTGCAAACCCTTATCTCTTTGTAAAATACTAAGTACAAGTTTCTAAGGTCACACAGGACAAACGCCTGGCCTGTACAGGCAGATAAGCTTCTGTCACTTTTGGAGGAACATCTTTTGCGACTTAGGAAGAAGTTTGTACCCTACATAGTATTTTCTGTGGTTAAATAATTTTTACTTTACACAACAGTGAACTTACTGTTTGACCCTATGAAACCTGCATAGGGAAGCAGACAGTATATGTATTTATTTCTGAATGCTAAATGGTGAATTGGCAAACTGTTTTTCCTGTGGATAACTGATAGAAGAGACAGCTGCCTCCATCTGTCTGGCCAGATGTTACACAGGGCCTTTGATATTGAATCCAGGTTGGAGTTCATCCGGTCTTAAATAAAAACAGTCATAGAAAGTCAACAACTGTTATAGTTTCTACAAGAAGACAAGCTAGTTCAGGAATCGCAGGATCACAGAATGGCTGAGGCTGGAAGGGACCTCAGGAGGTCATCTGGTCCAACCTCCTTGCTCAAGCTGAATCTCCTATAACAGGTTGCCCAGGACCATGCCCAGGCAGCTTTTGAGCATCTCCAAGGACAGATGCTCCACATACTCTCTGGGAAACCTGTCAGGGTGACTGAGCAACAGAACAAGAAAAAAGCACTTCCTGATGCTCAGAAGAAACAACTTCCACATTCATAATCCCTCAGAAGTCTGCCATAAAGGGTATTACCTTCATGGGAAGGTGAGATGCCTCTTCAAAGCCTGCATGGAATGCTTAAGCCCCTTCTATGAGATCAGAATTTTTTGCTAGATGCTGGTATCTAAGGCTTACAGTGATTCTCAGCTTCCTTAGAGCCATATTTATTAAACCAATCCACAGAACAGATTCAGATTGCTATTTGCTAATGCTGTCTTCACAACAGCATGTGTAAGTGTCCGCAAAGTAACACTTTGCAACTTGAGCTCTCTACAAATACACTTTGGAGGTCATTCATAAAGCCAGAAGTGACTCCACTAAAATCAGACTAGTAATTCATATTAGAAAAACAAGCAACCAATGCCATTTTACTAATTTACTGAAGACATTAATTGAGATGCTAGCATGCCAAGTACCGTGTGCTATTTAAACAATAAGCTTAATCTGGAAGGACAGCTCCTAACGTACCACAGTTAGTCCAGGGAGCTACATTTGCTTCAGATGTGTGTCCTGAATGGCGGCCATGAAGTATCTACCTACCTTCCCTTCGGGGAAACTCTCCCACTCATCTTGGGTCAGAAAATAATCAAACTTCTAGCTCTGCTCTTAACTATTAGGTAAGACAAGCTAATTTTCCACAGCACATCATTCATTTAGTTGGCAATGGCAATTGGCAGCTCTCAACTGCTAGCTTCACCAGCAACTCAAACTACTTAAACTAGTCTCTTCAGTTCAATGATAAAAGTTTAGAAACCTTTCAGAATTTACATTTGTTCAAACAGAATAGCACAAAGTATTCACACATCACAACACAAAAAAAGAAACCAAGCAGATAAAGGGATACTGAAAAAGAAAGAAATGCAATACAAAATGTAGTCCTGTCTTCAGCATTTCAGCATCAGTCACAATGCGAAACAGGACACACCTTCCCTAACAAAAAGGAAATGGAAACTCACTTGCTAAGCAAGATCTCCAATGCTTTGTGCAGATGCTCTTTCATTTCCTGGGACACTTTCTCCCCCAAATGAGCCAGGCAATCTTCTATTGAGCTCTCTGGATTGGCAGGACTGAACACTGGGGAAGTGTGGCAGTCAAATCCTGTAGTGGTAAATGCTGAAAGAAAAAGCATACAAAATAAAATGAGTAAACACATGTAACAACAACAATCTCAAATTTCTCATCCCAATAGTTAAACACAATTCACATAATGAAGGAAGAAATCACAACTCCATAATCGAAGTATGCTATGAAGAAGTTTTACTAAAACAACTATGTTCCAAATATATTCTGGAAGTGGCACTTAGAAACTACAGATGCCTTTGAGCTACATTTCCCCCTCTAAGCTCTTATCTCACTACTGTATCTTAACCAGCAAGTTACCTGACTGTGCAACTGTTCTCAATTATAAGCTAATTTTTAAGCCAACCCTGATGGAGCACCAAGAGACCCTCTTTTCTGTGGTAAAATTTGCTCATTTGCAGCAGTACTACAGCATGACTTTTTAAAACCATATTCTGTTCATGCAACCTTTCCCTCCTCTGTTTAAAATTTCTCCTAAAGGTCTATGTGGATGAACATAAAACAGATTTAGAGTCTTTTTACTTTGTATTTCCAGTCTGAAACACACATGCAAAGCAAAGATTATTTCCAAGTTATCCCTTGCTGGGAGTCCCATAAAAGCCACATCTATTGATCAAAGCACGTCACAAAAAATAAAACTGGTGGAAGTGAGAAATCTGATGGTTCAAGTCCACACACCCTGAACGTTAGCTGCTTGAGTATGTTTTCCCTTCTGCCATCAACTGGAGCAGCTTTAAGGGCTGCTTACATTTCATTATTTATAGTAGCCTATTAAATGCAGTTCAATTGCTTGCTTTGGCTAGACTCCACCACTCTACACCATAACATTTAACTATTTTACTTCATGTGACAATGGGTAGAAATGCTAGCTGGGGTGAGGAGGGGAGAAGATACTCAACCCATCCAAATATATCTGTAACTAGAGTACCTGCTATAAATTAGCCACTATTATATGGCACAGAAATTCTCAAGTGAAATGGGAAAATCTGAACAGCACCTTCCAAGATCTCTTCATCAAGACGTTTTAGCTCCTCCTCGATTTCTATTTTAATCTTCTCCAAAGCCTCTTTCTCTGAAGCATGTTGTGCCATAGGCTGTTGAGTCCCTAAAAGAAATCAAAGAAATGTTATATTTCAAACAAGGTAGATAAAGGAACGCACAATTTAAATATTAACTGTAAAGGAATTCAAGGTGAATATTTATTTCAGAAAGCAACATGAAATGTGATCCCTGAAGTGGTTATTATAGAAGTTTTATTAAATGAAACCAGAAACACAAACTTCTAGACCTGTTGAAGGCAGAATATGAGCTTTAAATGCAAATATTAAAAAGGTCAGAACACATAACAGCTTTAAAAAACAAATTCATCTTAAAATTTAAGACCAAAATCAAACAAAAGGTACTTAAACAAGCAAACATTAGAACTAATGCACTCGTTAGCAAACTACTTCAAAACAACATAGATGTCTTCAGAACTTACAATACCCAACCTTAAGATAGGCATAAGGTTTATTTTAGTAGTAAAATACTAAGTTTATATTGATCTCTGAGTATTTCTGTAGATTTCACAGAGTAGCTACATCAACAAAGTGTCCTGAAATCTATTAACTGTGCATCATTTCATTGCTTGTGGGGAGCCTACAGGCCACAATTAAACCACTTAAGACAGGGTTCATAAGTGACAGCAGAGACAAAGGGCGCCACAATTGTCAGCCAGCTGTCAATTCTCATTTCCTAATCGAGTCGTTTAAGAATATGAAATGTCTGCATATTCCCAGGAGAACACATGCTGTGCTTTGGGATCACAAAGACACCTTCTGCGTGCTGACTCTGGGAATCTCGTCACAATAAATTGTTTCAGCCATATCACTCAGGATTATCTCAATCGTTTTTGTTATTACACTGTAGGAAAAAAAGAGATACAGACTGTTTCCAAACAGGGAAAGGTATTTAAAGCATTTGAATCTTTAAGGTAATGCCTACTGAATGTCAACCTTTCCAATACAAGGCAGTATGGCAAGCTACTCAAATAACTGCTTTCTAGGACAGGTACTGATGCAAAGGCTAGATGGCTGGGACTGTTCCACCTCCAAATTCTCGCTATTAGTTGCTTTTTCTTTGGGCTTGCTCATCTCCAGTGTTGGCCTGGGTTTCTTCCATCAGCTTTCAAGCATGTCTTTAAATACCATTCTTAAAGCACACGACAAAAACTGTTCCACTAATTGCTCTCATTTTCACTACATATCACTAAGTCCATAGCCTACCACTGAAACTTTCTTCTTTCTTTCAGTTCCTTAAAACATTCTCTTTAGAGCTAAAACAGAACTCTGTTATATTGCCATGTATATAACAGTGAGTTTTGCATCAACTTACTCCTTGACTACATGAATGAAATTGGCCATGGAACTTCCCTTTGCTAATCCCCCTCTGGCCATTTCCTTCCCTAAGTTTTGGGCCAATTACCAGTCCTCATTAGCTCTGCTCTTTGCTGCTTTCAACAGTATTGGTGACTTGGTTACCCAAAACAGTTTCTTAGCTCTCCTACTTCTGAGTATTCCTTAGAATTCTTTTGGGGGACTTCACATCCTCTCACATCTGTGCTTTAAACACCATCTCCTGGCTGAATTTCCGATAATATTGCTCACAACCACTTTTCCTCACCCAACCACTGACAAGTCTCAAACTTATCTCACCCTTTCTACACCTACGCCAACTGCCTGGAGCTCTACCTGGACATCTAGACCCCATTCCACTGCACACTAAGCCATAACCTGGTGCTATATGAACTGTTTTCTTTGATTCATCTGTTCAAATCAACTTAAATTTACTGTGGTCATTGTATCACCTTCCCCTGTTCTCCATAATGGGCACACAATGTGTGGAAACCATAAGAACAGTAATACTTAACACACTATATCGTTAGTTTTCACATCAGCAAAGTCTAGCTTGCAAGGTCACCTACATTTGAAAAATAAGTTAAAAAGCCCCAGAATCAACCCACCAGACGTGTACTAACGCTTACATATGTGATGTTCTCTCTAACAGAGATTTGCGAGACAAACTCTTGCTAACCAACACACGGGTCAGTGTAAAATGTTTCCATTTAACTGAACAGTTTAAAGGAACAACAGATAATCAGTTAAATTCCATTTTCCTTAACCACACAATTTTATCATCGTCACCACATGCAGAATAACTTTAGCTTCTGAAATCCCCTCCCGAACAGTCTGTCACTGAGCCATAAATTCCAGAGGGGAACAAAATGTTCCTCTTTTTGGTTAACGAACAGACACTTATAGCGCCTTGTCAATGCCCTTCAGGCTGCCTCTTTGAAGGGCCGTACCACGGCTTCACAGCCGAGTGCAACAAGTACAGGCAAGCCCTAGCTCTTATTTGAACCTGCACTTCGCCCTGTACATGAAAGGAAGGAAGGTGATCGGAAGAGTTCCCGTTCTCACAGGACTGATGTGACGATGATCACACATGACAAGCTGTCATACTTGATAATAAGTCACCCAGAAAATGGAAGGAAGAGAAATTCCATTGCTACCAGCATACAAAAGAGCTGTTTAGATAATCACTGCTGCAGTCAATGGTTTCCATCTCGTAACACCCACAACTTTGCAGCAGCTGCTGATTCCAACGGCACCTGACTATTCAGACGTGCCAAAACATCAAAAACCTACCCCTCGTGGATGAGTGACTTTGCACTGTTCGTCCCCCTAATTACCAATGGACTTGAATTTGCTGCATCTCCTGAATGCTGACCCCCGGCAGCAAAAACTGCACCCAGTATTGGGAGAATAGTGTATTCCAAGAGCAAAGTTCTAAGTGGGCAGCATCTTTCTCCTCCTTTAAACACATTCCAAGTCTGTGGGCAAACATGTAGAAGAAAACAGTAAAGACAGCTTCTGGTAGATAAAAAAAAACAAAAACAAAAAAACAAAAAAAAATACCCAAAACTGAGGACCCGACACTGTTAGCAGCACTAAACAAATGCAGTTCAACAAATTAGAGCCCCTCGAGGTCAGTCCCAATCCCAGACTGAGCTGTTCCCCAACCTTCAGCCTCGGAGGAGGAGGGATGGGAAGCCATGCCTCACCTGGAGAGCCACCACACCTTACTCAACAGTGTTTGTGTTGCACTAAATCTAACAAGAGACAACAGTGAAAGACTGTAGTGGTGTTTGCCTTTTTTGTCTTTCAACAAGAAAGTCTTTGATGTCACAGACTGCTCCCAGTTTTTTCTTCTTCTTTTATGCCTGCAATTGTGATGTACCACTATCTCCATTCTCAAGTTTTTCCTGATGTTTCTACATCAAATTCTGTAGGGTAGACATTCAATTAAAACCGTATCTTCAGCATGGCCCCAGTATTTCTCTAATATCTCATACTTTTCAAACAGACAAGAAAAAACACATACAATTTCTGCAGTCACTGAGAGGTGACAAAAATGTAAGAAATCTCTTTATAGATGTATTCACTTTTTTCTTTTCAAGGAAAATAGTTCCATTGCCCCTGCAAACTCCAGAATCCAGACTGCCATACACAGAGGTAGCCCTTGATTTTAAAAGGTGATTTAAAGCATCCCTTTAAAAACCATAGGAAGGCTTTGCTTTAAAGTAACTGAAAGAGTTCAAAAACAGTAAGAACCAACAAGAGATGAGACATCTCCAGCTAGCAGTCTATTTTTCCTGTGGACAGTGAAGAGGCTTAATTAAGTAGGAATTCACATTCCTATCAGGACTGGCTCTTTCTTGGCCAAGTCCCACCCCAAGAGCTCCCTCTCCTTGTCTGTGCTGAGGAAATGGCTCCTCCATAGCCATGAGCTAGATTGCTCCCATACACAACGTGGGGCTTTTCAAGCTGTCACTTTTCAGCCTAGGTACATATACTTTGCCATAAGAGGGAAGTTTCTAAGGAATTAAATTAAACACTTGAAGTTAAGATACTTAAAAAACACCTTAATTTCTTACAGACCAGCAATAGGTGCTATGAAGGGTAAGTGAAGATACAAGGATGGAGTGCAAAGAAAGCAATGATACTGTCCCACAGCCACTCCACCAGTCACCTGAAGATGGAAAATTGTGCAACAACAGCTACCCCACCCACTATGGTCAAACCATATAAAAGAGGTTAAAATGTTACTAGACTTGGGTTTCTTGTAACAAAATCAAGACTGAGCAAGAGAGACCAAAGGAAATGCAGTGAGGTAATTCTCCACGTAATTTGTCTGCGGTTTCTCTTTACTAGATAAGATGTCCCTGGAAGCCATCACTCTAATAAAGCGTATCACGTCTGCAAAAATTGAGAAGCAAATCTTAAAGATTTTACTTTTAGCTGTGTTTTGGAACAGAAAGACATATGTCAGAAAGGGAACTCTCTAGCATGAAATAGAAGAAAGCAGAGGTTTTAGGGAGCTGACTGTGCCAGGGGAAGGCAGGTGAATGGATAAAAGCATTCGATTTCTCCTACCAATTGTAGCAGAGAAAATAACAGCACTGTTCTTAGGAAAGACTGGTTTTGTTGTTGGCTTTTTGATTCAGATGCACTCTGTAGTTTAACCGGATTGTGTAAGTTTCACTAAAATCTGGGAGACTGTAGGAGGAGTCTCAAGAGAGGTACACAAACACTAACTACACCTGGTGTATCTCATTTCCCCATGTTTTAAATATATATGCAATGGAAAGAGAGAAGATCTTCAACAGGTGATTCAAGGTGGCTATAATTAGGATCCTGCTCTGAACCGCCCTCTAGAGGAGTCTCTTACTCTCCAATAGGGAAGGAGATTGAAGAGATTAACATAATAAGAGCAAAGCCAGCCTTTCTGAATACTCACCATATATTTATTATACAATACAGAAATCAGACAAAGAGTAAGGACTCACTTGGATCTAAAAAAAACGTCTGCGAGAAGAGTATCATATGCCAGAGTCAGTATTTCATATGAATGATATGCACAAAACAGAGGAACATTTTGCAGCTAAACTGGAAATCACCAACAAACATCACTACTTCAATTGTTTCCCATGAAAGGTCTATCAGCACAGTAAGTAGACTAAAACTAAACAAGATAAGTGACGGGTACTCTGTATCAGAATCCTCTCAACTCGTAAATCAGCAGCATTCAGCCACCAAGAAAGAAGCACTAGTGACTGGAGTTTTAAAGTACCAAAAAAGCATTAAAAACAAACAAACAAAAAAAAGATTTAAGGGTCAGTCAAAATATCATTTCTATGGTAGATGGCACCACATGAAAAACACACTGCCAATAACGATGCAGTGTCATCTTATTGCTGTGCCTCATGTCTTCGTTAAGAAAAGCAGAAGTTTCCTCTTCCCAACGGGATCCTAAACAACAACAATTTCCATTTACTGGCTTTCACATCTCTTGCTCCAAGCAGGTTTCACATGCCACCCTTGTTACTGTAATACCCAGCTGCCTCCCAGCAGCGCGTTAGGCGGTGCAGGTAATATCCATTACAGGCTGCTTGCTCTCTCCCTGCCTCTCCCCAGGGGAGGAGCACGCAGCAGACTGCTCTGGTGCAGCTTCCACCAACTGTGCAGCAGCCACGTGCTAGGCAACAGGGGGACACGGGCTGCATGTAGCTACTTAATATTCAAACAAGATGCATGGAGCACTTCAAAGCCAACACATGGCCGCTACCACACAGAGCCTGAGAGCGTAGCTGACTGCTCCATTACAAGCAGTGAGAAAAGAAGCAGGCAAAATGATTAAAAAAAAAAGTAACTGGTGGACAAATTAAAGATGTTGGAAACAGGCAAAGCAGAAAAGTAGCAGGGAAAGTGAGTTTGGAAAGAATGGAATAAATCCTTAAACAGAAGGATAGTCTTGGCACAGAGTTCAGTAAGAGCCTGAAGTCCATCCAACACATTTCAAACAACAAGAAACAACATGGAAGATGAAAAGCAAGGGAAAATTATTTTATCCACAGTTGTTGATCATGAAGTGATAAAAACACTGAAAGGGAGATCTCATTACAGCGAAAGATGACCAAGGGAGGAAAGGTTGCATTCACTCTCTGGTCTGGGGAGCGAGTGTGGGGGATATACAGAATTTCCTGTTTAGAAGGGAAGCAATGGGAATGACAGCACACATTTGGGAACAATTAATACTTTTGAGTATTTTAATTGTACAGTTGTAACATATATTGTTGCAAATTGTATAGTTGTAATAAATATAGGTGCATTTGCAACAATATATCCTGCTGTTACTCAAGCTAAAAAAAATCTAAATAGTATCTGAAAAGTATATTTGTTATCTTTGCTTAAGAGCTGAAAAGTCCTCTTAGCTGATAAGAAATTTTGTATTTAGGCATTTGCAGCTTCGTCTTTATAGTTTTATTATTGCTCTTTGATTCAAATATTTCTTAAAGGTTTCAGTACTAAGGAACTGTCAAAATGCTTTCTCACAATTTTCAAACATTTCAAAGGTAACAAGAGCCAAATTATAAAAAGAGAGCTTTAAGAGTAATTTTCCTTTCTGAACCTTGCACTTACAGAAGGAAGCAGACTCTTCCACAACGCAGCTCTGTACTTACTTGATACATTATCAGTTATAGACCACTTCTCCCAGATGGGCTGTTCAGAATGAGATGTTATTACTGAAGTGAGTACTTTTTCCAGCAAATGGTTTTATGAATCAGCATATTGGCACAAAGGTGCCTCTCCTTTCATGGGCTGCAGATGCAGTCACAGTGGAAGAAACAAACATACCTTAAATGTATAAAGTTTAGTTTTACACTATAAATTATATAGCCAGTATACACTATATGCTATAGCGCCAAACTGATAACATTATTTTTGTCATATCTTTCATGCTCTTCCTTTTCAGGCATTTCTCAGTTCATAACAGATAACTTCACTAAGTGACAGCATACTTTCTCAAATGCTTGCTCAAGAAAAAAAATATTCTGAAGACTGTCTTCTTTCCTTTTTTTTAAACATGCCTTCCTCAGAATAAGTTCTGAATCACAGGAACAGTAGCAATTGAAACATCATCAAGAACTGACAAGCCACCAAAACAATCCTGACAAACAATGTTGTTGAAGTGTTTGCCAACACAAAACAAAGGAAGTCTTACTACCTAGAATATGAAATACCATCTATCAAACTTCTTTTATTCTGCTTAACCTCCTGTATGTATAAACTTGTTCTGGAAGAAACACCTGACTCCGTGCAGTCTTTGACTTCTTAAAAATAAATGAACAAATAGACAGAGTGTAGGCCAGATTAAGTCTCACATCTCTACGCTACCACTGACTGACAACAACAGAAGTGTTAACATAATTGGACAAAACTATTTAGTACACGAGATTGCTCAAGTTGTCACTCCAAGTGTACGCTGGTAAACACCACCTCACCCCTGTTTAATTCTGCTTGCCTCCAAAAAAGCAAACGTGGCCTGATTTTCAAAGTTGCTCAATAAAGATAATACATATCTATCCTTCCTAATCTGAAGACAACTAACAAAACCACTTATTTGCTTCATAAACACTGATCAGCCTCAGCATAACTCCAATTAAAACAGCAATCTAAATAAGTTATCTATTTCCATCAGCATCTCTTCCCATTATTTTAAGTGAATAATGGGATTAGGAACTAAGTGCTAAAATAGTTTTTTTAATGTAAATAGATACATGTAATACGTAAATATTACCTTGAGTTGAAGCAGGAGGATGCTCCTGTGGCTTCTCTTGTGATAAGAGCCCCAGGTAGCTGAGAACTACATATTTTGTTTCATAGTGAAATCCTACAGGCACAGCAGTAGAGGACGCCATCAGGTTGGCTTGCAATGCGTCAGTGCTCTTATTGGGCACGTAGGGTTTTCTCTGGGTTACTGGTGAAAACTGTAAGGAAAGAATAGAGTGAGGGTTTTTTGGTTTGTTTTTTTAAGAAGTTGCAATAGGTCATGAACTCATACACAACAAGAAATTATGTAACAATCACGAAGTAATATCCAGAGTTTTGCCTTGCTATCCTATGCGTTCTCACTTTAATAAGAACTATGCAGAGTAAAACCAAATGCCCTCAAGTCTAGGGCCCTGTCTGACTGCTGTTAGCAGTGGAATTTCTCACTCCTGCTCGGCATACATACTCTCACATTAAAGCAAATTAAATAGTTCCTTGCCATGTGTTTTGCCTTTTAAATGCCTCCCAACTCAACCACGTACAAATATACGCACGCAGTCGTGCAAAGAGGTTTTAGGGATTCTGCAGCCTCAGTTAATTACAACTGAGAGTAAAAACATCAGCTTTAGAGGAATCTCCCTTCCCCTAAGCCTCAGATGAGTACTTTCCCAATTCTCTGCTTTCTCAAATTCTGTGTTATGATGCTCAAGAATTTTAACGCAGAAGAAGTGTCAGTTGTCTCAACCACAATTGTCTCCAATTCATTTCATTGTTCCAACAGCAATGGAAAACACACGGTCAACAGAAGAAACGCCACACTCATCATAGTGATTGGAAGAACAGATGGTCATGTGTCCTGGATTTCTCACCCAGACATTAAAACTCATAAAACAGAAATCCCTATCTAACAGCAACGTCTGGTCAAAGAACTTCCCTGTTTCACTGTTTGTTTAGTTGCTTCTTCAGACATGCAAATAACATCAGGAAAAACTACGGTAAAGAGAAATAAAAATAATAATAAATAAAAAACATAAGAGACAAGGAAAAAAATAAAAAAATCTCAGAAGACAACAGATAAGTGGGAAAAAAAGCTATACAATTGACCGAAACAAAGTTTCAGACTAATCAACATGCCTTAGCTCCTTATGTTAGGAACGGGGTGGATAACTACTTCCAACCAACTTGGTACGTCAAGTAACACACAGTAATTGGATCTTCCAGACAAATTGTTAAAATTAAGTTCCCCGTCACTTCAAAGAGTCAGAACAAAATACTGACTCTTACAAAAAAGTAGCAGCTCACCCCTGGCCATCAGAAGAGATCCCTAACTGGAAGGCCAGCACAAGTGTTCATGCTACAGGGCAGGTACTTCACAGATACAGAAGGAGCTACAAGTGTCAGAGTGCAGCTATGTTTATAAGAAATATTCAAGCCAAGTTTAAAACTTAAAGCAGTGAGAATGAGGAAAACCCTATAAGTACACAGAACACAAACTGGAACATCCCGAGAGGGTTTCTGATTACATTGGAAATGCCTTGAGATGGAGAGAGAGAACAAGGTTCCCAAACCGAAGTACAAACGGCAAAGTAAGCCTCAAGATGAAAAGCAATCATAATAATAAACAGAGCAAGCAAAAGAAAAAAATATTGATCTGTTCAGCTGTGCAACATTTATAGGCTAACTTCTAACCCCCCTCCTCCCTGGAAAGGAATCCAGCTTAACAGCAGCACAACTCCTTACAGAGCATAAACAGAGCCACAGCTACACTGCAGCATCGTTACCTTGTGAGTAGGTAGCTTGGCACAGAAAAATCGTCTGGCAAACTAAAAGCTCTGTTAGAGGAAAAGAGTTGGTGGAAAATTGGCTGAGCGTTCCTTAATCTTCAGTAACTCTGCTTTCTGAAACTCATTCAGTACTGGAAACAGAGGAGGACTCTTTCATGAAGACTATGCTTTGGGAAGCTCTGCCTCCTCTCACGTATTTCAAAATGCTTGAAACCCTGCACCAGGAAGGTTCACTTCAGTCTTTGCTACAGCTTGAACTGTAGTAGTCATTCATAGAGGAAAGAACCAATGTCAAAACTGTAAGCCAAAGCTCAATGTATCATGCTTCAGAAACACAAGCAGCTACAGCAGAGGATAAACACAGTTTTTCCACAACATACAGCTCCCCTTCAGCCACTGTCACAAACTGGGATTTTAATAAAGATGGGAGATTTGGAAACAACAACTGCTCAGGAGTCGATAGGGTCATAAACAATAGCCGTGTTCTTCAGAGCAGATCAACAGCTGTGATCACCACAGCACCAGATGTAAAGGATGCCATTCAGCAACAAGCAAAAGCTCCCTGCTACAGCTTTGCTTTGTTCAGCAGAGATCCACAGTCCTGGAACTGAACCAAGGCTCTTCCTAGGATGCCTGCGAAACGAATGGGAGCCCTTCGAGGCCACAGAGCAGACCTACCTGGGAACAGGCAGCCTGGGGGTGGGCCACAGAGATCCAGGCACTGCGCTGTGCATCAAAGAACAGGGCTGAATACATAACAAACACCATTCTTTAAATCAGGATTTCAAATCAACACAGAGAACGAAAGGAAAAAAAAATACAGCCTATCAAAACAAGAACGAGGCTCTGTATCAGCACAGTGATCCTCGTGCAACAATGAGGCCTAATTCGTGCCAGTTTTGGCATGCCTAGCTCAGCACCTGGGGGGGAGTGAGAAAGAGAATCAGACCACAACTTATTTAAATAGTGGCTAATGCTTCCCTGGGAAAAGAGTGGAGGAAAAAAAGCTTCAGATGTGTAAAAATAAATTAATAAATAAAAATAACCACGATATATTTGGAGAGGTACTTTTATACTGAAGTGACAAGAGAGACTTAACTCGAATGGAAGAACTGTCTGAAGCTTCCCCTAAAAGCATCAGCCTGGAAATACACCTCAGGACCGCTGATCCTCCTCTGAGAGGAGCCCACAATGAAGTAACCGAATTACTCACTTTAAATTGTGCATGATTGTTTTTGTTTTCATACAGAAGTAGGCAAATATTGACTCAGATACTGTAAATATTGCAGAAAAGACCATTTTTCAGGAACGAGTGGGTTTAGAAAGGGACACGCACAGCTTGAAACACCAGCCCAGAGGAAGGAGAGCTTCCCAGTAGTGGGGTAAGATGGAAAAAGAGCCCAGGAACTGCTCAAGAGGGGGAGACAAAGCAGGACGGGGCGGTGTAGGGGAGCAGGAGAGGCAAGGCACTGTGAGGAGCCTCCAAAATGTGGGCAAGGAGGCGACTGCTGGTCTGGCAGATTCATCTACTGCCTCTTAAAAAAATAATAAATAAATAAATAAATCAAAATTATTACGAATTGCTTCATACAAAAATTAGAAATTCCTTAATTCCTGCACCCCTGAGGGGAGAAGCCCTCCACTCGCTGTACGCGCTGGGCGCTGCAGCCTCACAGGATTTTTGGCTTCCCCGGGTGCCCAACGCGCCGAAAAGTTCCCAGCCCAGCAGCACAGGCACGGATCGCCCCTGCCTGTGAGGGACGAGCCCAGCAGCTGCCCCCGCTCCCCATTTTATTCCCCATTCCCCCCCCCGAGCCCCCCGAGCCCCCGTAATGGCCGCCCCCCCCTCCCCAAAATCGCTGCGGGAGGGGGCGGCAACCACAGCAACAAACGCCCGCCGGGAAAGCCGCCCGCCCGCCCCACCCCGGCCCCTGCTCACCTGCGGCGGCGGCGGAGGGGGCGGGGCCGGGCCGGGCCGGAGCCGCCTGAGGAGGGGGCGGGGGGCGAGGAGGAGGAGGAGGAGGGGAGGGGAGGGGGCGAGCGCCCGCGCCGGGCGGAGAGGGCTCGGCCCTAATTTGCCGCCGCCGCCGCCATGATGGAGGGGCGGGGCCGCGCGTCACGGCGCGCGCGTCCGCTGCGGGCTTGGGGGGGGGGGGCGGCTGCGCGCCCGCGTCACGCGCTGAGGGGAGGGAGGGAGGTAGGGGAGGGGGGGGGTGACGCAGCGCCATGAGGGGCCCGCCCCCTCCCTCCCCTCCCTCCCCCTCCCTCCCCCTCCCTCCCCCTCCCTCCCCGTGACGTCAGCGGGCGAGGCGGCGGTGGCAGCCGGGAGCCGAACCGGATCCACTTCGCTTCGCTTCGCTTCGCTTCGCAGCGGCTCCGCGTCCCGCGCCCCGCGTCCCGCAGCAGCCACAGCAGCCATGGCGCTCAGCGATGCCGACGTCCAGAAGCAGGTGGGGAGCGGGAAGGGGCTCGGCTGCGAGATGGGGGTGGGGGAGAGAGTTTACACGGGGGCAGAGGGGGCGGCGGAGGGAATGGGTTTGGGTTTTGTGAGGCGGGCACCCAGGGGTAAGGTCGCAGATGCCCCCCCGCCCCTGCCGCCCCCTCAGGTGCCGCCTTTATCGAGGCGCCGCCGCCCCCCCCCCCCGCCTGCCCCGCCGCCAGGCGCCGTCCCTCAGCCCCCTGCCCCGGGCACGGCGGCCCCCGCGCTGGGAGCGTCCCCGGGGAGGGCACGGCGCCCTCAGTGACACCACGCACCGCGCACAGCCGGCACCGAGCCGCCGGCCGCTGCTGCAGACCGCACGGATCCGGCCCGGGCTGGGCTCCGGCAGGGCACGGGCAGAGCCAACGAGCGCCCCGTGCGCTTCGTTTGCAAAGCTGGCTGCTTGGATTCCTCTGTTCCCTCTCCCTGAAGGTTGTAAAAATAAAGGTGACCTGCTCGGGGCTTGCCCAGCTGCCGTGGGTGTGAGCCGCAAAGGTGAGCTCAGGGTCTGTGGATACACCAAACACACGGTGCCGATGGAGTTTCGCACCTGCAGCTTGCCTGTAGGGTTGCACTACTGAATGCTAGACTGATCCTGTTGACTGGAAAGGGGCACGCTGCTGATGGCACCGCTGTTCTACACGTGCATAAACCCTGGTGTCAACCTACCAGCTGATCCTCTGAAATCTTAGCTACTGACCATGGTGCTTTCAATAATTTTCACATTAAAAATCATCTCCATTCATCAATCTCGGATTTGCAGAATCACAGGGTTGCCTAGGTTGGAAGAGACCTCAAGATCATCGAGTCCAACCTCTGACCTAACGCTAACAAGTCCTCCACTAAACCATATCGCTAAGTTCAACATCTAACATCTTTTAAAGACCTTGCTTTACTTGCTTTCTTTCATCAACAGTGTTTAATCAATTGTTACATCTAATACCTTTAGGTCTGGAAGCCTCACTTAATATCTCTTTTAATTCCTATGAAGAACAAAAAGAGATTTCAATACAACAAACTACAAAAGCAATAACAATGTTTGGTCTAAACAGACATGGCAAAGCGGATGACATATCGCCTTGCTTCCGTCTTACTCTGCTTTGTTATACAGAGGACATTTCTTGAACATCTGAAACTTTTTAAAGAACTCTTCCAACATTTGGAAAATAAACTGGAGGAAGTCGCTCAGTAATATAAGGGTTACTGTTGCTGTAGAAAGGTCCTTAGTTTCCTTCAACACCAGGGTATTTGGTGAAATTATTTACATGTTTTATCTGCCTCTTGTCCTTTCTGAAAAGCAGATCTAAAGCTTGATTTGATCAGCTGTCAGATCAGACAAGTGGATAAGATAAGAAACTGACCTTGGAGGTAGACTCGTGCTTAGAAGTGTTGCAAACTGGAGTTAAAATAAAAATGGTTGACCTGATTTTGAGGATGTAGATACTGTCATTCACTTCTTCCGCTGTATGTGCCTAAAATCTTCCGCTTGTCTGTTCACTTCTGGTTTTTAGTTTATGCGGGCATGGTGCTGGCAGCGCATTGGCTCAGTTCTCAAATTGGCACCTTTCTTATCTCTTTAAAATGTCTCATTTCAACATGAGATATGAGATATGAATAGAATCCTTCATGCAATTTTATTCAGACCAGATTTAAATGTGTCTTGTCATTAAGTGCGAGCAAAAAGGAGGGTTTCATGGTCCACTTGAGCATGCAGTCCACTCCATCTGCGCTAGGAAATGGCTGTACAGTTAAGTTTCCATTTAGTTGGGCATTGATCTAGGTTTGAACCTAAACTTAAGCCTGGTCACAGAATGGCATAAGATAAATAAGCAGAACTTGGTATAATTTGGTTCCCTGTCTTTGAGCTCTTGGGCCTGTGCTTGATAGTGTTTTGAGATGCTTTCCAAAAATTCCTTCAAGCTGAACTTGTTAGTGTGTACCCATCTCTAAAGCAGCATGTGATAGACTTGTTGTGGTCTTGATCAGCTGGTGCTCTTCTCTCTGTTTCCTTCCCCAGCTCCTCCAAACTAATACGCGACTACTTTGTAAAGTCACCTGAAGTTGATCTGTACAATGGCATTTTTTTTAATTAAACTCATTTTTCTCAAACCAAAGACCTCTCAAGTTTTTACAGCATTTATTAGATTTTTCAAGAAAGATTTCTCAGATGTATAAACAAACTTCTGCTTGTACAGACTGGGCCAGAGCGGTCAGTAGCCCTTTGTTTTGCTTTGCCAGTTTCTGGTGTGGAGGGCCCAGGTTTGTGTAAATGACACTTAGATCTGACTTACAGCAAGGGCTCAAGGTTCATCTATACTTCACATGAATGTTGTAACAAACAGACTACTTTAATTTTACTGTGTGAGGTTTTTTTTTCCTTTACTACTGGAGGAAACATCCTCATTCAGTGAAGAATGCAAATACTCAGTTTCAGGCTTATATAATTTAAAATGTTGTTTTATACTTTCATATCTATGTACATTTTTTAGTGAACCATCACAGAAACTTATTTAACAACGTAACAATTTGGTTTTCTTGGAATCTGTGTTAAGCAGAGGTGACTCTGTGACCTGTATGCTCAATTTAATTCCTTCAAAAAGCAACACTGTGTTATAAATTAGTAAGTGGAATTGGAGGGGGCCTACTGTATGAATGGGGAATATGTTTCTACCCGTCAATGTCCTTTCCAGCAGAAAATGGTTTCTTTTCTCTCTTATTACAGATCAAGCACATGATGGCTTTCATTGAGCAGGAAGCCAATGAAAAGGCTGAAGAAATAGATGCAAAGGTAAAAATGGAAGTTCAATGTCAGTAAGTGCAAAAGGAGAACTGCTTCTGACATCCTGGTTTAATAGCTGCAGTCTGAGCAGTCTTAGAACACTTCTGTAAAGTACAATTTGCTTCCCATTCAGTTATTATATAGCAAAAAAGATACTACCAAATGTTTGCTAACTTCTGTGAAATCAGAACAAAACTACTGAGTTGGATCTGTTCTTTTGGCCAAGTTTTCTTAATGGTTCTTAAACGTGAATTTATTCCTACCCAAGTTCACTCACTTTTTTTACACAACCAGGAGCACTGAATGGTAATGAAAATAGACTAAAGTAAGTGAAACACCTTTCCCTACCTCCTATATACAATTCTAATTTTTGCTTCATTTCCATAGCATGTTAGGCAGAGACATTAGTAAGAAGTTGAAGCAAGGATGCTAATAATCTAGCACAAATGTTCATTCGTGCGCAAAAATGAAAAAGGTGAAAGTTAAACTGTCTGAATTGGGTTGGTGAAAGCTTGTTTTGTAAACACTTTTATAACTGTACCTGAACCTGTGTGGCCACTTGCAGACTTACTTCCAGGTGTGTTTTAGTAGGTGTCCTGGGGAACTACACCATAAACTTATAGGTAAGGCATGAGCTGAACTATTTGCAGAATTCCTCAATACGGCTAAGCCACAAGAGAATGAGTTTGATATTAACCCGGTGATAGAATATGGGTGTTCATTGAAGTAGGAGTAATGGTGCCTTATGACCCTAACAATCTGCATTATATCAACACTAAAATATATGTTGAGTCCAGTACCAGCAAGATGGATTACTGATAATTTTTATCTCCCATAAATGATTTGATCGGCAAAACTGTTTAATAAGTTCTAAATCAGGTATTGCTGTTTATCTCCAAAGACAAGTCAGAAGTTGAGACTGGATATTCAGGTATAAACTTCCCATGTGTGTGTGGTTTCATATGCTAACAGGCTAAGTTTTATAAGAATGTAGTAGCTATGCTGCCAGTCTCCTTGTGTAAGAATTAAGAATTACTTGTAGTAAAGCACTTTGTGGGCACCGAGTGGGTTATTTTAGGTAGAACTTCTTGTAGACAGAAATGAGACTAATTCTGTTTAAAAAGAAAAAAACATGCCTGGAGCTCAGATAGAATGAATTGTATTTCCTGACAGTGCATAATATACCCGTTTTGTAATTGTATGCCTGAGGAATAAACACTGCAAGGAAACGTGTTAATCAGCAGAGACATACCAATGAAAAAAGCTGTATCTTAGCAAGGTTTGAGTTCAGAATTCAGCAGGACACATACTGGACTCCCTTTGACTTGCATATTGGTTGAAATGCTTTGTTGATGTGGAACCATAAATTGTATCGCCCTAGCTTATCTGTAAATGCGTTCTTAAAGCATGGCCATTTCATTTGATTCTGTTTTTTTCAGCCCAAGGAATCAATTTCCGCTTCAGTTATTTAATTTTTACTGTAGGCAGAAGAAGAATTCAACATCGAGAAGGGTCGCCTTGTTCAGACACAGAGGCTGAAAATCATGGAGTATTATGAAAAGAAGGAGAAACAAATTGAACAGCAGAAAAAAATGTAAGTTACTTAGGTTAGATGGTTGGCTTCAGAGCCTGAGCTCTCATCTTATTATTAATTTTATGTAAAACCATTTTTCCCTTGCAAATGGGCAAATTGTAGCTAATGTATTGAGCTGTAATTGTGAGGTTCTAATTTTTCTGGGGAGTAATTATCCAGGGTGAGCTACAATAATATAACAGGTAGGAGGTGTGCTGAAAGAAACTTTGATTTTTCTTTACGTGGTTAATGTCTAAAACT